CTGGGCGGCCGGGCCGGCGTGCGGGAGCGGCGGCCGATGGACGCGCTTCGCTTTAGGGCACGCTTCCCCCCGAATTCAGAGGCGGGTGCGAAGAGTCCTCAGGGCTGCGCGGCTGCTCCACGCCTTCCCTCTGCCCCGCCGAGCCTGCGTAGGCGTGTGCGCACAACCGCCGTCCTCCAGTCCCTCCGCTCCGTACGGAAATGCGCTTTGCCTGCTGCTGGGGAGGCAGGGATGGAGCTGCTGGGGCTTTTCCCCTCGCTGCAAATGGGAAAACGTGTGGGGCGAGTCACGTCTGTGCGGAGAGCCAGACCTTACGTACCAGTAGCCATTAACATTACATAATGCTGTTGTGTCAGGTCTCAGCTGCATAAACGTTTGGAAACCCAATCCAGGTAGGGATTCTCCTCCACAAGACTCCCCCGCATGCAGGCGAAGCAGATTTCCCCCTGCCCTCACACTGTGCCATCAGGGTAGCGGACAGGACAGCCACGGGGCCGAAATCCTTTAAGCACTCTGTGAAATGTCACGTGGCTGTGCGTTAGGGAGACTGGAGTTGCAACTGATTGCCTCTCTGATGATTAACCTCATCTTAGAGGTGGGTGATTTCTAAGCATTTCTAGAACCCACATCAGAGGGTGGCTTAAAAATCGAAGATGTGCAGAAATGACTGCAGTGTAGATGTTCAAATTACAGAGAATTGTGGATTCTGTTACAGCTTAACATTCTAGGAGCCTGAAGTGATCTTTTGCTAGACCGGGCAGGCAGCAGCAGACAGAAATGTCTTTCACATGCTGCTGTTGTTGCTAACTGTCCTCATTCAGAGGAACCAAAGCATTGCCTCAAAAAGATTAATTCCTGATCTGTTTAATCTTTGTTTGTTTTCACCAACATTGCAGAGAGTGGAAAGCAGGCAGTGGCTTTATTTACGTTGTAGTCATGGATATATGAGCAGGTGAAGTTTTTAAAAATAATGTTTTCTTGGAGGTATGTACCTACAGCAAATGTCAGAAATTAGCACCGCTGGCTGTTAGGCAGAAATGGGTTAGCAAGTTTCTTGTGTTTACTGGAGTTCCCTTGGTTCCCATTGGGAACCTTGGCTTTGTTTTACTATTTTTTAAATGCAATTACTTGTATTCAGAGTTCTGTGCTCCAGAGTTTGTGTTTTACCTAGCTCCTAGAAATTTATCATGTTGAGAATCCCTATGTGTAAGCCATATAGGAATAACCTTTGTCTAATTTTTAGAACACCTTGGAAAGCTGATATTCCTCTCTAAGAGATGGAAAGTGGGCTGGAGGTAGAGGAGTGGTTTGTTTAGGTTACCTGGATGTGGTTCTGGGTCTTCTGTACCGTGATGCTGGGCCTTTCTTTCCACGAACCCCGAGTCCCATTCTCCGTCGGGAAATGCAAAAGGAGCTTGTTCTGTTTCAAAGCTTACAATGCACATTATGGGCAGCACAGCTGAGAGAGGAAGCACCCAGTTTGCAGGGCAGTTGCAGCTTAGCTTTCCTGTTAGCTGTGTGTGGTCTCAAGGGAGCTGATGCAGATACTCATGTCTTGTAGGTCACGCTGCTGAGTGGGCATGTGGGAATGAGGGGGAGGTAGAGGTTGGCAGGCTCGCTTACAAAGGGTTGCGAGTTTGCCAGCAGTGCCACGTGCTGTCGTGGAGATTACAGTTATAAAGCTGGTGTCTTTTGCAGAGTTAGAGAAAACAAAGTGAAGTTACAATGCAGATGGGGTGACGTGGCTGTGAAAGCAAAGATGATACATTTGATATTTTATAACATAGTGGGGGATCAGTAACACACACTGTTAAATGCAAAAAGCACTTAAATGGTTTTTTTACAGTTTTGGGGTGGGAGGGAATAGATGACTGTCTTGGCATACTTGCATCTGTGCTTCTTCATGGTGGAAGATAAAATGCAATTCTATTTGCAGCTATTCCAACTACAGAAAATTCTTGCCTTGGGAGATCTTGCTGGTGATGAGCTAGGAGTGTACACTTCTCTGCTGTGGCGTTGCCTGTTTGTAGCCAGAACTGTGAAACTTGCATGGTTCATGTAGTAATTCATTACTGTCATTGGAGTGGCGTATCGGCATCTTTCTACTTCATATGCAAAATCCCTCCTGCTGCAGAACCCATGAAAGAATATATCGTAGTGAATTACATGGTTTCTGCGTTTCTCCATGTCATAATGTGGACAGAGCAGCTGGCAGGGGTGTGCTGCCAGCTCTGAGAGATAATGTGGGAAGGGGGTTGTAGGAAGAAGAAAATCCTGGAAACCTCTTGCATCTGGACAAGCAGAACATGCATGCGAATGGCTGGGAGCTGCCATCTCGTAGCAGTTGGTAGAGAGACCAGGGATGAATACGAATTCTTGTTTTCCGTTTCCTGTCCTAACTTTCAGTTTGATTTTGGTGATGCAGGTTTGCTGGAGTTCTGTGCAAATTCTTCTCTTTAGTCTTTTAGCTGTAACTGGACTGACTGACACTAACTGCTGTTGTTTCTTCTCTGCAGATTTCTTCTCCAGTCTCTGGAAGATCTGGACAACAGCTTAAGGAAACTCAACTCTCGCTTGTTTGTTGTGCGAGGGCAGCCAACAGATGTCTTCCCAAGACTCTTTAAGGTGAGAGACTACAGTAATGTTCTGGACCATAGTGAAGAACTGATGTCCCAGTGCTGTCCTTGTTTTCACTCACTCATGATTTGCTAGTTGTTGGAGATCCCCTCAGCTTCTCTTCAGCAGTAACTAATTCTTCACTGTAACAAACTGTTCTCTTGAACCACTGTGCAGAAGGGCCAGCTTGGGATACACGCTTGAACTCAGACTTGCAAAGAAATTTAGTAGTATGTCACCAGGGTGCTTGAGCTTCTCTTTTTGAATGGTGGTCATTGCCTTTGTTTCTGTAAGTCATGTCTCACAGGGTTGCACTGTAAGACAGTGACTCCTCTGTGTTAAGAGCTTCTTCCCTTATCTTTCTGAAGCTTTTACTTGGGAAGACTGCTATGTCCATACACCTTTACAGACAACTGAAAAAGCATATTGATCTGTATGTGAATTGCAAATAGGGCTTTGTGTTAAAATTTCAAAATTCAGAAGCTTTTGTGTTAGCTGACCTTCCTCCTTCTATTTAAGGCTGCAGTTCAGTCAACTCAGCAGCAGAATGCAGCTTGGGTCTCAGCTTACTGCTGATGTCCCGTTTAGGACGGTGGAATATGCAGTGACCTTGGTGGTCCATGATGGATTAGTGGGATATGTTTCTAAAGTGATATGTCAGTGCTGCAGATGGTGAGAGAGACAGGGCTGGCAAGAGCACCTGCTCGAATATCAGGGTTCCTCAAGCAGTGTCATTCTTCTCTGTCCTGCTCTAAGATTGTATTTCCCATTGTCTTTGAACCTTTTTGAAGGTGTCTTTGCTAGAGTGACAAAGCTAAAGGAAAAAAACATGGTTCACGATAGTCTGATGAGTTGGGTTTGTCGTGTGGACTGTCCCTTACATGTGGTTGACAGAACTAGTGTCCCCAAGCCTGCTATACACCAGCTGCTGAGAAGGAGAGGGAAACTTATATCTATACCCACCTGCTGTAAATTATGTGTATTTTCTGGATGAGGGCAGTACTGAGGAGGGGAATCGGACTGTACAAGTCAGAAGGGTCACTGATACTTAGTTTGGCTTCTGCATCTTAACACATGATGCAAACTCTGTGCTGCTTTTAGACTTTTCAGAGTCTGAGTTATTTTTATCTTTTGATATGCAAATAAGTTCTGGCTAGTAGTAGCCCATGCCCTCCTTATTTTAGTTCAGGGTATCCAAACATTTGGAGAAAAGTGCTCGCTTTGTTCAAAGAACAAAAAGTAGTTGGCGGACTCTGAGGTCTGGAGACATGGTGGTGGAATCAGCCAGACCTGCTTTTAGCTGCAGTCAATTTTGCCTGGGCAGTTGAGTTGATGAATATCTGAGATGTGCTGTAACAGAGCTGAAAAGAATGTAGGGGGTGGTGTGGGGGTGGTTTATGCTATGATATGGTAAATGTATGGCTTTCATGGGAGTTCAGACCTCTCCAGAGCTGCTGCACTGAACAGTGAATTAGCAGCAACTCATGCCTTGCTGTCAGCTGTTGTGGAGAGGAGAGCCGTGTCACATGTGGTAATGCAACACTTAGACCTAATATAATTTCTGCTCTTGCTGCCAGTAGCTGAGCTATGTTGTCAATAACAGTTGCTGCAAAGGCACTATAACACATGGATACTGTGAGGAGAAGTGTGCTTGTTAGCTCTGGGTTAACCTTAGCAGTTTTTTTGTCTCACTTCCTCTGAAAAAACATCTGTAATTTTACCTCTTCTGAAAGACAAGTGTGTTGTTTGTTCACAGTCCCTTTGGTGGGGTTTTTTCCCCCCTACATTTTTTCTTTGCTATAGGCTAAATACAAACAGACAAGTCAGTCATGACTTTTCTTTTGTATATCTGCAGCAATTTATTGTCATACAGCTTACTGTTTTCTGGGTCATTGTAGTCTGCTTCCTGTGTGCTACTGTAGCACATAGAGTGGTGAGCTTCCCAAAACTGTAGGAAATACCTGAATTTGAAGTTTTGTATTCTTACCTAAAATCTCTGTTAACCTTAAATTGTTTTTTATTCTACTGCTGTCTTTCAAGGTGGTAGTGTATGTTTCTTCATGACCAAAGCCATCTTTTCCAAGACTTGATACTGTCTGTCTTATAAAGAAAAAAAAAGTTTAAAATGAAGCTGTTAAAATCACATAGGAACAGTGGAGGTCCTGGACCATGTCTCCATCTGAGTTATGGATGCTGGCATGTTCTTGTTTTGAAAAAGGAATGGAGGACCTGTCTGAGATGTATATTAAGTGGTACATAACTGTTTTAGTTCTCAGTCATTCCTAATATTAATTTGAGGATTGAATCTGAAAGTTTAGAAAAGAGGACTTGTACAGTTGTTTTCTGCTTCGAAATTCCCTTCCCTGTCTTTGGCATTATTTCTTAATGGTCTTTAGTGATCTGATCACATCTGTTCTTTGTGCTTCGCTTGTGTTTCTGGTTCTGAGGTGGAAAAGACTGTCCTGTATATACAGAGGTGACTTAGACTGTCTCACTTAGAGGATGTGATTCATATCTTAGTTGTGTGAGGGGTTTTTTAAGTGTCTCTGTAGATTTCTGGCTGCGTTTGACTGAAGCGTTTGCTAAACAAATCTGTGGGTTGCTGCTCTGCTTGACGGATGTCTTGGGAGGGTCGCTGTGGAAACCGGTAAACCTCTTCTCATAGGATTGATTTTCTGAGGAAAACTAGGCCATAGTCTTTGAGAACAAACTGTGCTCTGGAAACGCCTGGAAGAGGCTGAGTGCTATTTCATAAGGCCTATTCCATGTAATCTCTGAGGGATCTATTAAAGGTGTGAAGATACAGAATAGGTGCGTGGCTTGACTAGGGGTAAAATAACTCCCCAAAGGCTTCAATTTAAACCTGAATTGAAGTGTCGTACTCTACTGTGCTGACCAGAAGGGTTCACTCAGTTGCCATCCTATGTCCTGCATTTCCCGCTACCCTTGTTTGGGTTGGTCATTGGTCCTGCATTATGTGATGGCTTCAGAGAGAGACTGGAAAAAATTTAGAGTGTGTTGGTTTTACTTAATGACAGTCTCCACATAAAAGTATGTTTTTGTGAGTGGAACTTGTTCTGAAAGAGTTCTCTGAAATACTTTCTCTGCAGATGCTGGAACAGGATGGTAGAGTCGTTTTGGACAGCACGTGCAACAAAACAAGATGGTATTAGGCTTGGTGACTGAGCTGTAACCTAAGAGCGTTAGTAGAGAAGAACTCGAACTTCCTCTTGCGCGTTTTAAACGTGACATTTAGGAATTTGCATAGCAGATGCAGCGTTTGCTAGAGCTGATAAAATTGTTGATTCTTTGGTTATCTAGACTGCAGACTGCTGTTCTTCACAGGAACCCTCTCTAAGCTTCCAGGACTTAGCACTGGCCAGGATTTCTGACATCCTCATTCGTAAATGTACTGGTTAGAAAGAGTCTTCTGTTTTGACAGCTGTGTGCATTGTGTTTCTTGCAGGAATGGGGAGTCACTCGTCTCACCTTTGAATACGACTCGGAGCCATTTGGTAAGGAGAGAGATGCCGCTATCATCAAACTGGCCAAGGAGGCTGGCGTGGAGGTGGTGATAGAGAACTCCCACACCCTCTATGACCTGGACAGGTACGGGGAGAGCAAGGGCAGAGGTGCTGCCTGGGCTAGGCTGGGATTGTCGCATCTGGGGAGACTTCAGTCTGCTCCATTACGTCGATAGCCTTCATCATGTGTGAGCCTAGAAGGTGTCAACAGGATTACTCTGCACGCTCACACTTTTGATTAGAGCACGTCAAAGTGCTGACAGTGACGTGAATGTACAGAAAGGTGAATGGTGTTGCCTCAAGCTTATAAAACTCTGTACTTGACAGTCATTTAAGTTGCTCAGTTGTCCCCTATTTATTGCTTTCCTTGAGCATGTCCTCACTGCGTGGACTGCTTTTTTTGCTTCATTGTAATAAAGATAGTTGAGCTTTTGTCTCAAACGGGTTATGAAGGCAGGGCTTTTAACTGATGGATGTGCCAGGACAGCTGGAAGAAGTAGAACAAGGTAGATGGGGGCAAACTTACCTTATTGTAAAACCTGAATGCCTTGTCTTTGTTGTGTATTTGCTACGGGGGAGCCTTGCCTTTATGTGGAGTTTTATATATTTACTTATTGCATAGTGTCCATATATGTATATGATTTGCTTAAACAGTGGAGACAATCTTTCAGCTACAACTCTAAGATATGCTTTACTTCAGCCATGTTTCAGTACTATTCTTAAAGGTTGCTTGCCTGCCTTCCTCGCGTTCCCCCCCATGACTTGTCCCAGTAGTGCTGAATGTAGATTTCCTCGTATAAATCTTTAGCATCCATAATTTCCTATGGGAAGGAGCTTTGCAGTTTAGCACATGCTGTGTGGAAATGTTTGTATTTGGAGTGAGGGGGTTTCTTCTTGAACCTGTGTCATGAGCACAGGCTGCTTTATAATTTTTGCATTAGAAGAGACTGTTGAGTGCTTATTACGTCCTCACCCCTTCAGTGTCAATGCCCCTCACATCCTTCCTCACATCCTAGTTTACTTAAGTTTTCAGGTGGAATCTGTTCTATATCTCTTCTAAGTTTTGTCACCTTTCTTTATACTTCTGGGTATTTCTAGAGATGGAGAGCAGTGGTGAAAACAGTAGCTGGTGTTCAGCATACAGGAGTGACATGGGTTTGTGTAGCACTATAGTGTTCCCTGTCTTCTAATAGTTGCTAGCATTCTTTTTGCTTTTTCTGAGTGCTGCTAAACACTAAACTGACGTCTCTGGGCTTCCTTGCAGAATAGTCGTAGCTATTTGAGAGGCTGCTACTATATAAGTAAGTTTAACATTGCATAGCTGTGCATGCAGAGAAACAACATGACCAACACTGCATTGCATCGGGTATTTTTGCCAGCTGGTCAGGTGGTGTACAGGGAAATTTTTAAGTTGCCTTTCATTCTTAGCTATCCCAGATAGCTTCTTGTGTTAGTAAATGTTATCATCATGCTCTCTTTTGTCCCTTCCAAGATATTTTATGAATAACATTGAGCAGCACAAGCCCTAGCTCAGCTCTGTGTAGGATTTCTCCTCCTGCTGGAAAAATGGATTCCTAGCCTATCCTGTATCTCAAAGAATTTTCTGTCTGCAGGGATGTTTTGCTTTATCCCACTTTATCTTGGTTTCTTTAAAAATTTCAGTGAAGGATCTAGTCAGATGGCTGCTGACAAGCCAGGTAAAGTGTATCAGCTGCATCTCCCTCGCCTCAGGCTCAGATGTCACTAATAGAGTTTGAGGCACAATTTCCCTTTACCGAGGCCAGATTAACCCTCCAGCACATTGCATATACTCATGCATTCACTGATTCTATTAGTATTGTCTACCTGTCTGCTTAATGCGCATATCGGACTCTGTTCTGTCATCCCTCTGATGCCCTTGTAATGGTTTTTAAATCTGGAGTCATATTTGCTTTTTTTTTTCTTATCATTATTCAGACAGTTTTAAGGCAAGTGTTACATGCAGCAGCTATTAGTTTGGGTATTTCTTGATGTCCTTTACAACTCTTGGGTGAATACTTGCTGGTCCTGGCAAGCTGTTGCTGTTCAAGCATAGCTTTGTTTTGTGGCATTCCTTCCTGACCACCCGGTCTGTGACATCGCCTGATATATTTCCTTAAAGACGTTCAGAGTGTCAACCTCCCTGAATACCTTCATACTGAATACACGTGCAAGAATAAATGCATGGTTTTTTGCTGTGGTGTTACAGTCTCTGCTTCTTGTATGACTTGATCATCTCTTAGCTCTGTAAATACCCTGGAGTGTCTGTAAACGGATTTTTTTTTTTTCTTCTTTCCACTGTTTATGCATTTTTTTTAAAAGATTTCTCAAACTTTCATTTGGGTTGGGAGGTGTGAGGAGGCTGCTTTTTTGGCTTTGGAGTTAACCTTGGTTTTTTTCTATCTTTATTTGGCCTTCATTTTTCTGAAAGATTTTGCCTTCTATTATCTTTGATGCTATTCTTTAATTATTTTTACTTTTGTGATCTTTCTGAAATCTTTTTTGATGGTTTGTGTGCATTTTTGGAATTTTTTTTTCCCCACTGTCATCTTCAAATCATATCTGTGTTGCTTGTCAGTGTTTTGCATCTAGCTTGTTCTTTTTGCTTAGCACAATTCCTTATTTTTGTGTATTTCTCTTCTTGAAATAAAAGCCATTCTGGTATTGTTGCTCCTGGAAGGGTGTTAAATTGATGCATGCCAAAGTCACAGTTAGAGCAGGCACGTGATCACTAACATTTTCAGCTATACCTTAACACTGCCTAAGACCAAATCATTAATTGCCTTTCTTTGTGGGTTCTTGATTAACTGTTAGATGGAGTAGTCATTCATGGCAACTAGAAAATTGTTTTTTGGCAGGCAGTGGGGTGTGACAGCTACCCGGTCTGTGTGGAGGCAGTTGAAGTCTCCAATTACTCTGACATTTCCTGGTTCTTGGCATCTCTGAGATTTCTCAGCAGATGGTAATACAGTTCTAATATTGTATTTCTTCTGGAGGCCTCTCTCAGGAGTACGTAGCCCTCCAGTCATGCTGCCTGGTCTTTTAACTCGTGGTGTGTGTTGTCCCTCTGCTCAGTCTACTGTTTTTTCTGCATAATTAGTAACCTGGTGGTGGTGTCCTACTTCTCATCTTTCTTTAATCAAGTTTCCAGCAAGATTGTCAGGCCTGGTTTTAAACAATTTAGGCTAATCTTTCACTTCTACATAAATGATTCCAGCAGTCCTTCTTTTGTCCCCTGCAGTGCATTCCCGGTACCACCACTGCCAGCTCCTTTTAAACGTTTACAAAGAGCCTGTTCAGTTAACTTGTGAGTCTGACCGGTTTTACCCAGCAGGAAGATTACAGTGTGCTCCTTGTTGGCACTGCCAGCGTAGCTGTGTGATGATCAGAGCGTGTTCCCCTTCCTCTCCCCCAAAACAAGGAGAGGGCTGTAGAAAATCAGCATCAGTGCTGGAAAATACTCCTCTAAGAAAACCTAGGAATTCTCCATCCAGATTAGTGATGTTCAGACTGTAGAAGTCAGACAGAAAAGATAATCTCTTGGAGATCAGCTTAGCCTGCTCAAAGTCTTTACTTCACAATTGTTTTGTCCCTTCCCTGGATCTGCCTGTTTTCTCCTCTTTAGCGTCTAAATCCTCTGTAGTCCGCTTGCTGACCATCAGCATTGCGGTGTCCTAATCCCAGACAAGTTTGGGTTGTTCAGGGGGAGTGGTTTTGGTCAGGAAACAACACTGTGAGCTCGTATGTTTGTAGCATGCATCAGGAGCAGCTTTTCCTCAAATATTCTAGCCTAAGGCTGGAATCATAGTTAAATGCATTTCAACAGGAGTTACGTACTAACTTAAAGGAACCAAGCACTGGGGAAGCAGGCATGCCTTGGTCGTTCTGCAATTCATAATTACACTGTGCCAGAAAAGTGTTTATTTCCTTCTAAGCTGAAGTCAAGCTGTCTGCCAGATCTTGTTACCCTCGTCTGCTTGCATGGTGTTGTGGTGTCAGGTGTCTTCCCCCTGCGCTGATACTTAGCCTGTCATCAAGTCACTTCATCTTTCATATGCTCGTGTGTGTGTGATTCTGTGGAAGTTGAATCGTTCGTCCTTCGTCCAGTGCCTGTTGTGTGGAGTATCTGTCGGTTATCTCTCCATCTCCTCTTTGAATCTGTAGAAATACCCCTTGTGTTATGTACACGAGCTCTCTGGAGGAAGGATTTAGACTGGAGCAGTTGCATAAGCTGGTGAGGCTGACCAAGTCTGCGTGAATTGGTGGTGGGGTGCATTGCGGAGCAGCCTGCTTGCCGGTGCTGGCAGCCGGCTCTTCCTCGCGCCAGGAAGCAGGGGAGAGCACGTTCGGTCCCTTGTCAAAATGGGGCCCTGTCACCTGCACGTGAGCTGAGGTGTCCAGGTTTGAGGCGAGCAGCTATCCCCTGCCCGGCAGCCATCCCACCGTGGAGCTGCGAGTCGGAAGCCGGCACCTCGGAGGGCGCGTGTCCAATGTCTGCAGACACTGCTGTCGCAGGTGACTGGCTGTGGGATACCTTATAATCCTCGCAGCGCTAGAGCTGTGCGTGGTCAGGTTTCAGTTGCCTGCTTGCTGGAGGTAAAGTGTGGCTGGGTGATGGTCGGAAAAACCCTCGTGACTTCTGGTGTCCAGGTACGACTGCCAGGCAGCGCTGGGCAGTGTATTGCGAGCCTGGTAGCACAGCCATTCGTAGGTGTCCCCACCAACGCCAGAAAGGTCGGGTTTTGTGTGGTGAATACAGCGATTCTGCTCTGCTTAGGGAAAACTAGGAGGATAGCTGCCACGTGTAGTCTGAGTTGCGCTGGGAGAGACGGGTGAAACGGGGATCCTAAATCCTGGGAAGGGTCCTCCCTTTTCCTGGCATCGGGGAAGCTCCTGTGAGGTGGTACTGCCTGGGTGAGAATCACAGAAGGGTAGGGGTGGGAAGGGACCTCTGTGGGTCATCTGGTCCAACCCCCTGCCGAAGCAGGGTCACC